TACTCTAGCTATGCCTATGCTTTAGGATGTAGCGTAGCTGTGTACCTATATATACCTTGGGTTTAAAAGTAAACTTGTATGTTGGGTGTATGAGAACATATAGAAATGCGTGGCTTTTTAAATAAAATGGGAATAGTACTTTGGGTTTATACAAGAAAAAAAAACCCTTTCAATTAGCATTCAGCGGCAAGGAGACCGCTATTTTTTTTTATCAAATTCATTTATTTTCTAGCGGAATGTTTTGATTCATTTTAAGTTAGAATGGAAATAACTGAAATACAAAGGGATACGATAAGTTGCTAAATCTAGAATGAAAAACAGTCCTTCGGTTAATAACAGGACAAATTTTCAAAACCAACCTTTTTGATTTTTTATTTGTAAAAAACGACCCATTTTCAAAATATTTGTAAAAACCGATCTGGTTTCAGCCTCAGCGCTGAAACCAGGTCGGTTTTTGAAAAAAAAAATTTCGAAACTTCACGGGAGTTGAACTCCCGTGAAGTTTCACAGTTCAAAATTTTTTTTTAACTGTGAAACTTCACGGGAGTTGAACTCCCGTAAAGTTTAGCAGCTTTTAATTAAGCTGCTAAACTTCACAGGAGTTCAACTCCCGTGAAGTTTCGGAAACTTTTTTTCAAAAACCGACCTGGTTTCAGCGCTGAGGCTGAAACCAGGTCGGTTTTTGCAAATAAAACTGAAATAGGTCGTTTTTTACAAATAAAAAACCAAAAGGGTTGGTTTTGAAAATTTGTCCGTTAATAACAGCAGTTCGTGATTGAAGTAGTGCTCTGAGCTCGATCTCTACTCTCTTTTTTTTTTTTCAATTGTTGAAAGTATCCCAATCCGTTCTCTCCGCAACCAATGTTTTTTATTCATTTTATTCCTTGCACTCACTCCGCCTTTTAAGGATTCTAGAAACCCAAGGTTGTTTGTCTCAAAAGAAAAAAGATTAGCAGGAAAGATTAACTTAATTGTGTGTTTGTGAGAGAGAGAGAATCTATTCTAATTTGGTGACCAACCCCTCTCCTTCTCTATTCTTTATTTCCGTCCTTGCCTCTTGCTGTGGGCCTCTGTTTACTTGGTTTCTTTATTCCTTATCTTGTGTAGGAAATTCTCTTGACCAGGGAAGCAATCTAATAATAGGGCGAAAATATTCTTGTGTTGGCTTTTTTTTCTGCATATGCTTGATTTCTGTTTGCCCACTTACCTTTCTTAATTAAGTTTTAGGTGGTTATGGAAATTGTTTGTGCTTACTCTTGAATTGCTTTGTCCACAAATAATTAAAACAAAAGTTGTCAAGAAAATCAAATAAGGTGAACCTGCTTTTAATATATACCACTGATGATAAGATCATCGGTAATGTACGTGGGAGGGATTAGAAGTCATTACACATCTAGAAGCTGAAAATTGTTGGGTTGCATGATAATTGTCATGCTCCCACCGTCCCCGTGTATGTTGAGGCATCACTGTGATTTATATTTTATGTGAGAATTTGATGAACTACCATTTGGCTTGCATCTCCATGTTGCTTATTGGTTTAAAGAAGCGCAGGTTATGCTGGGTTAAGGTCAAAATGTTGTTAACATGCATCATCTGATATAGGGACGGTTCCAATAAACAAGGACATGATGCTATTAAAATAAATGACATGGTCAATATTCAGGCTAAAATTCTAACAGACAGCTCAATTAAATGTAGGCGAAAGACGTGAGATTAAAATCGGCATGAAAGATCTATATCAATCAGTCTAAGCTGGTGTCCTACAGATGACCAGTCATGGATCATGGGCTAGGCTTAATGTAAGTAATTAAGTTCTTATAGCTCTAAGCATGCAAAAGGTCAGTTTCCACGGATTTTCATTCACTTATTGTGCATTTTCATGACTAGTTCTTTATATTAGTAGTTTATAGTGAAATAAAATGTTGTTAGCTCAAATTGACTCACATTATTTTTTTTATTTTCTCCCCGTTGACCTCTTGATGTAAACACCTACGGAGCTTCCATAGCTTTTTAGGGTTCTCATCTAATCCAACACTTGAGGTTGATGTTTGTGCTGACATGGTGTGTTTGGCAAAACACTTAAAACAGGGCCAGGACAGGACCAGTCCTAGCCCATTTTTATCTTAAACCGGTTCTATTTTGGACCAGGGGAATATTATGGTGGTCCAAAATAGAACTGGTTTAGTGGCAAATTAAAGTTTGGCATATAAAAAGAGGGACGGTTCTGATCTTATTCTTTGCCAAACAAGAAATCATATTAAAACTGGGTCATGTTTAACCTGATGTAGAACGCTTAATGGACAATTTCATGGAGGATTCGGAGAATCTCGAGCTACACGTATTATTAAACTTCCGCAAAGAAACAATCATATTTTTTAATCCGGAATGCGAATTCTAACATATTATATATGTAAATCATTTATCTCGACAAGACGGAGCCAACCAGATTGTCAGATTTTTAAAATCTCATCAGTAATACCCAATTTTGACTAAAATCCGAAAATAATCAGCTTTTAGTTTATTTTTAATAATAAAGTTGGAGTCTATTTAGATTAGAAAATAAATTAGAGTCAAATTAGATTAGAAAATAAATTTAATTTTGATTCATGATTTGTTTCCTCTATTATAAGGAGTCTTTTTAGAATAGAATTTAATACTTTCTATTTCTTTGTTTCTAGTCTTACTAGGAGTCTAATTTGTTTTTCTATTTAAGAAGAATCATGTAACCCCAAATGATAATATCTTTTCATCAATAAAATTACTCTTTCAATATTTTCTTCGTGGATTCGGAGATCATTCTTTGTGGATTCAGATAACACCCTTGGTGGATTCCGGGGTTATCACTTTCACGCTGCGCCAATTGGTATCAGAGCTTTGTTCCTCCGATCCAATGGCAGGTGATGAAGCCTCTTTTTATCGAACTGAGTTCGACATGCTGAAGACCGATGTTAATCAGATGAAGACTGTCATTGAACGACTTGTGTCGACAGTGAAGCGTCTGAACACGGGAGAAGTTCAAAATCGCGTTGATGGTCGCTAACGAGGTGATCTGACTCACGGGAGAAGTTCGAAATCACGTTGATGGTCGCCAACGAGGTGATCCGACTCCACATGATGAATTCAATAGTGATGACTATATATGAAGCCTCACGCCGCGGTGATGATCGCAGAGACCATCAAAGATAGGATAATTATGACACTAGAAGATTAAAAATATCTTCCTTCAATGGAAAGCTTCATGTCGGTGATTTTCTTGATTGGATTGATAAAATGGATAAGTATTTTGAGTATAAGATAATCCCAGAAGATTGAAAAGTTAAATTAGTGGTCTACAGGCTTAAAGAAAAAGCATCTTCATGATGGGATGAAGTACTGATAAATCGATACTATCAAGGGAATGATCGAACGTGGGCAAAGATGAAGAAATTATTAAGAGATTGTTTCTTACCTTCTAACTACAAGCAATGTCAGGTGTCTTTAAAAGATTCTTTTACCTTAGCCGCTACGGTCCGTCTAGCGAAGAAGGTGGAGCCAGAACTTGAGCAGAACGACATACGACCTTTATCATGGATGTTTTTAGAGAGTTATCAAAAATTAAGAAACCTCAATTCCTCTCTGAGAAAGAGTCTGGTGTTGGCCTTCTTGTTTTGATGATGATTTATAAATAATTTACTACTAATATTATTTGTCTAGTGTTTATGTATTCCTATGTATTGTAGACAAACAACGTAGTTGGAGGATGGATGGATTGAGCCTACACGATCATATCAAGAGGAGGTTGGCGGAATTGTGGAGTGAAGCATCGTACAATTCAAGTTTAAGATCCAAGTTTAGCTTCATCCGCAACGTGTACCAAGTTGAGTTCAATGAAGATCAAGATCAAGCTTGGGTAATTTAGTTTAGGATTTATATTATGTGTGTTTAATACATTAAGCTCAATATCTATACACACACATTTATTGGTTTCTTCGTATATACATATAGTTATATATATATACATAAGTTTTGGTTTCTATGCATATATATAGTTATATATATACATACATGTATTTTGAGTTTTTATGATTATATATATGAAATTATATATTTCATATTTTCTATTGTGTTTTTAAAAACATTGCATATAATATGCAATTTTGTGAAAATATTGTATTCTTAGTTTGTAGACTTGAATATCAGTTTATACATGTTTTACTAAG